AACAGTAGAATGAACAACTATTGTTTGATGCCCCCACCACAGGGGACTAGTACGAACTCATTGGGAGACTAACGACAATGTATAGAGAGCAGTTTCAGGGGGGCATCCGCTTAGAGGGGATTGAAAATTTTATAGGGGCCCCCCATCACACGGGGCGTGTCCACTATGATGGGGGGCTCAAATCACTGGAAGTAGGAGCAGTTTTATGGGGGGGCCCCCCCCCCCAGGGAGTGGGACCACATAGATGGGGGGCCCCAGCGCCGGGGAGGTGGGAGCAGTGCGGTGGGGGCCTGCAGCACAGGGGAGTGGGAGCAGTGTGGTGGGGGCCTGCAGTGCAGGGGAGTGAGCAGTGTGGTGGGGGCCTGCAGCGCAGGGGAGTGGGGCAGTGTGGTGGGGGCCTGCAGCACAGGGTAGTGGGAGCAGTGCGGTGTTTCCACTCAGAGGAGCCTGACTGAGGGAGAGGCCCAGTCACCAGCAGCAAACCCCTGCTCAGCCTCTGCAGGCAGCCGCGCGCCCAGTGAGGGGGATGGAACAGTCCCGGGCAGCGCTGGCCCACGGTCCTCCCGTGCTGAGGGGAGGCTTTATGCCGGGGCCCAACAGCTCTCAGTGGGAGTGCGGGGCATTTTGCAAAGCTCAACCACCTGGTGCCGTAATTCTCGTCACCACCAACTGGTTCTGTGACAGTAGCAAGAGCTTTCTTCTTTTTCAGTGCTGGATTTGGGAGCCGAGCACTTCTTGTTCAGGGTCTTCCCGGAACGCATGGCCGACCGGGAGCACCTGCCAGTCCCTCTCAGGGGCTCAGCTGCCCTGGGGCTTCCCCTTCTTGGCCTCTCCGTCCTTGAACTTCCTCTTTCTGAGTGTGCTGCTGGCGTCCTCGGCTTTCACGGCCGGAGATTCCTTCTGAGTGTCCAGCTCTGGAGCTGGATTTTTTTCACCCGCCATCTGCAAGATAGGAAAAAAGCAAACTACATTTTCAACTTTTCCATTAAAAAAAAGAAAGACAGAAAGGAGGACTCCATTCTGGAGAGCTATGGTACGGCATGGTGACTGTAATTCACCCTTGAAACTGCTGAGGCAGTAGATTCTGTTTGCAACACAAACCTGGCAAGTATATGAGGCAATGTGTGTTGCGAATTGGTTTGTGATTTATATTAAAACATCACATGATACCATAAACATGCAATTTATCATGTGTCCACTAAAACAAGTAAATATAAATAAATAAAGCTGCCCCAATAAAAACCCCTCGTTAAAACATGCTTCTAAACATCACAACAGAGAGAGATGAGGTGTTTGATATATACAAGTAACAAGGTAATTTAGTTTTGTGGAATCGTATGAACTTAAACTAGCAATTTTTGAAAGAACAAAAACCTAAACTCAGTCTGAGAGTCCAAGACCGCTGGTTACTTTGCAGACAAAATCTGTGAACACAGGCTGCCCTCACTGAGATTTTAGAACAGAAAGAACTGTCTGCCGATGCTTCAGAACAAGGATTACTCATTTGGCTCTCGTCTGAGAAGACAGGGTACACACCGCTGGTAGAACTGTGAATCCGACTCCGGGCCCCAAGGCGGATACTGGTGACGCTGCCTGGTGTTTGGTAGCTGTTGGTGAGGCCCGGCAGGTGTTGATGTTGGTGAGGCCTGGTGTTTGGTAGCTGTTGGTGAGGCCTGGCAGGTGTTGATGTTGGGAAGGCCTGGTAGGTGTTGGTGTTGGTGAGGCCTGGCAGGTGTTGATTTTGGTGAGGGCTGGTGTTTGGTAGCTGTTGTTGGTGAGATCTGGTGTTTGGTAGCTGTTGGTGAGGCCTGGCAGGTGTTGGTGTTGGTGAGGCCTGGTAGGTGTTGGTGTTGGTGAGGCCTGGCAGGTAGGTGTTGATGTTGGTGAGGCCTGGTGTTTGGTAGATGTTGTTGGTGAGGTCTGGTGTTTGGTAGCTGTTGGTGAGGCCTGGCAGGTGTTGGTGTTGGTGAGGCCTGGTGTTTGGTAGCTGTTGTTGGTGACACCTGGTGTCCGGCAGATGTCACTGATATCTCATGTCTAGTAGATGTCACTGATGGTGCCTGGTGTTTGGCAGGTGCCTGCGAGATGCCTGCCATTTGGTAGACGTTGTGACAACGCCGGATATCTGGATGCTACATTGTCGTTACCCTCACATGTTCAGGTGCAAGAATATTACTTCATCGACCTTCCAAGCCCTGAAACAACTCAAATTTCTTTCATTTTTATAGTTTGGGAATATATTGACACCCCAAGAAGTTGGGTGATTTTTCCCAAGTTTACTCAGCACACTTTTTTTTTTTTTTTTTTTTTTTGGATTGGGAAATTGGAAAATGAGAAAGAAAAAACAGATAAAAAGTCTTCCTTTGCCGTTGGTTCACCCCCCAATGCCCACTGTGGCCAGTGCGCTCCGAAGCCAGGAGCCAGGTGCTTCTCCTGGTCTCCCATGTGGGTGCAGGGCCCAAGTACTTGGGCCATCCTCCACTGCACTCCCGGGCCACAGCAGAGAGCTGGCCTGGAAGAGGGGCAACCGGGACAGAATCTGGTGCCCCGACCGGGACTAGAACCTGGTGTGCTGGCGCCACAGGCAGAGGATCAGCCTAGTGAGCCACGGTGCCAGCCACTCAGCACACTTTTAAATAGCACATAGTTAAAAGAAAAAGCCTCAAATCAAGTGAAACACCTGGCAATCCAGGTTGTCCTATAGTTGTAGGGGGAGCCGCTCTTGGGCCAGGTAGACCCAAGAGGGAGGCATTTGCTAGATTTGGTCACATCGGTCAGACAAGATTTTTAAAATTCCAAAGTGTCCCCCAATCTTGCTTTCCTCTCAGCACTAAACCAAAGCCATGAGCACCCAACCTCTCTCCAGGCTATCACATGTCTCTTACACTCTGAGATTCCTCTAGAACATTCATGTTCACGTTATTTTAGTAGGAAGAGCCCCTCACACAACTGGCATCTAACGCAGAGCTTCAACATATGAAGCTAATGAGAAACAGTCGTGTCACCCACCCCGCCTCCTGCCTGCCACCTCCCTCCACGCAGGTCCTGGAGCCTGGCCCAGCACCCAGGGCTCTGCTGGCCCGGGCTGAAAGCCCTTGCTCCAGAAGGCCGCCAGCGCACTCAGAACCCCGGGCATGACCAGGAGGCCAAGCAGACCTGGGCTCTGCACCCAGAAGTCCCTTGCCAAGCCCAGTCGCACCGCTTCCACTTTTCACTCTCAACAGCAAACACAGAGGCCCCAAAAGCAGAGCGCTCCTGCGGCCTTGCATTGGCCCAGCAGTAGTAGTGGAGTCACTCTCTCCTTTACCCTCTTGAAACAGGTCAGACTTCTAGACATCCATGTTTCCACTCATTCATTCACTTAACAGGCGTCAGCCAATGGCTTCCTGTGTTGCCAGGCCCTCGTTCCAGCTGCCAGGGACACAGTGGGTAATCAGGCAGTCTTGCTGCACCCTTAGGGGACTCTCTGTGTGGCATGGGGGTGGACAAGGATGGGGATTGGACAGGAAGAGAGAGGCACACACAAACACATAAATGAACGCTGGATTACAAATAGTAGGAGAAGGTATTGGGCACTGCCCTTAAACCACTGCTTAGGACACCAGCATCCCACATCAGCACACTGGGTTTGATAGCAGTGCTGCTCGGGATTCCAGCTTCCTGCCAGTGCTCATCCTGGGAGGGAGCAGGTGATGGCTCAAGTGCCTGAGCCCCTGCCGCCCAAATGGAAGACCTGGATTTGAGTTCCTGACTCCCAGGCACTTGGGAACTGAACCAGGGGATGAGATTCTCTCTCTCTCTCTCTCTCTCTCTCTCTCTAACAAATAAATGAAATCTTTAGAAAACCAAATGGTAGCAAGGGCTAAGAAGGACGATGCACCTTGCCGTGCGAGTGAGTGTAGCAGGAGCGGGAGACTCATTCACTAGGCACCAGGGGAGACTTCTCTGACCACTGGAATGAACGCTGAGAGCAGAAAGGAGGTAGATGGTAGCTGGTGAAAAATGAGAGGCCAGTACTGCCCATGCCAGGGAGGAGGGGCAGGAGAAGTATCTGAATATTTTCAAATAATTAAAGGAAAAAAAAATGGCCAGTGCGGTTGGAAAGCAGAGTGAGGAGAAGGTGAGTCAGGAGAGGCTGCAAGGTGGCCAGGAGCTGTGCGCTGCGGAGGCCTGCAGATCCAGGCAGGACCAAGAGCTTAGGGGTCCGCTCAGGGAAGAAATGTTTATCATGTTGCACAGTTTGCAGGAGTTGGGAGTCTGGCAGCAGCTTAGCTGTGTAGCTCTATTCAGAGGCTCTGGTGTGATTGTGGTTGAGCTGGGGCTGAGGTCTTGACGGGGGCTGCAGGGCCCTCTTCCCGATGGCTCGCCCTGTGGTGGGCAGGGGGATGTCGGCTGTGGGCTGCAGGCCTCAGCTCCTCCCCATGGAGACTCTCCAAAGTGCAGCCTGAGTGTCGTCACAGCACGGGCTGACAGCTTGGGGGTTTCCTTCTGGTCTTTCCTCCCGGGTCCTCCATCAGTTGTGTCAATCTCTTCTTTGTCTGCTTACCCCCCCACCCCCCCCAGTCTTTCTATTGTGGTAAAATACAGGTAAAATTTGCCACTTTAAGTGTATACCTCATTGGCATCCAGTACGTCCACCTTATTGTGCAACCATCATCACCATCCACCTCCACAACTTTTGATCTTGCAAATCCAAAACCGCATCTTCGGATATTCGGATTATCCCTGCGGCAGCAGGTGTCCTATGCAGCTTGTTTGGACTGACTAGCGATGTGCTGACCACATTTTCTTTGTCCATTCATCGACTGATGGAAATGTGGGCTGCTTCCAAGTTTACTGACTGTGAGTACTGCTGCCATAAACGCACGGATGTATAAATAGCTCTTCAGGAATCCACTGTCAATTATGTGTGGTATATACTTAGTTGCGGAATTACTGGATCATCTGGTAATTCTATTTCTAATGTCCTGAGGAACTGCCGTACCATTTTCCGAAACAGCTGCACGGCTTTGCAGTCCCACCCACGGCGCCCCGTGTTTCTAATTTCTCCAGTCTTGCTGACACTTGTCATTTTCTGAGGTTTTGATGACAGCCATCCTGACGGGTGTGAAGGGTAGCTCGAATGGCTCTCATTTGCATTGCCCCATAGCGATTTATGTTTAACATATTTTCATGTGGCTATTGGACATTTGGAGATCGTCTTCAGAGAAACGTCCTTTGCCTGATTTTGAATCCAGCTGGTTCTTTTTGTTCCTGAGTTTATACCCTGAATCCTTGTCGTCATAGGATCTGCAAATGTATCTTCCCATTCTGTGGGTGCCCTTACTTTGCTGATAGCATCTTTGTCGCACACAATTTATTAAATTTCATGAAGTCCAATTCATTTCCCCCTTTTTTGCCATATTTTTTGATATTACATTCTAGAATTGAATTTCCCAACCCAATATCATGGCACTTTTAACATTCAGTTATTTACTTTTATTTATTTGAAAGGCAAAAAGAAAGAGAGAGGAAGAAACAGAAAGACAGAGAGCTCTTCCGTGTGCAGGCTCATACCTGCTACAGTCAGGGTTGGCCAGGCCAAAGCCAGGAGCCTGGGACTCAGTCTGGGTTTCCTACGTGAATGGCAGGGACCCACGTCCTTGAGCCATCACCTGCCACCTCCCGGGGTGTGATTAGCAGGAAGCTGGAATCAGAACCAAAGCAAGAACTCAGTCCAAGGCACTGTAATATGGGACAAGGGCTTCCCAGGCAGCATTGTAACCACTGCACCAAGCGCCCAACTTCTGCGTGTTTTCTTCTAAGTGTTGTACACTTACACCACTTATGTTTAGGTTTTCTGTATCCATTTTGAGTTAGTGTTTGCATAGTGTGTAAGGTGAAGGTCCAACTTCATTGCTTTAGATTTGGGATCTGGCCTGCCCTGCTGTGCCATCTTCTCACTCGGGACCATGGTAGTCTTTCTGTATAAGACTTTTCAATCCACATCTCTGTTGCCCATGACCTACGCACATGCACACACCTCCGCTGATGTAATCTCTGCCCCGCCCCACTCAAGGATTTTAAACACAAGAGTCAGATGATGCCACACGTGTATTTGAACATCGATCTAGACTTGCTGTGTAAAAGGTGGGGGCCGTGGCAGATACACAGAGTCCTGTTAACAGGCTCCTGGAGTCATCAGATGAAAGATGACCCTGGGATTGGGGCAGAGGCAGAGGAAGGCGAGACTGGATAGAACTGAGCGATAACTGGTATGAAACATGACTGCATGTCTGGATGGATTAACCACGGGGGCAGCGGGGAGAGTGGGAGGTCAGCAATGACCCTCAGTCAGCTGGCTTGCACAGCTGGTAAGCTGTGGTGCCTCTTCCCTGGGATAAGGGCCCTGGAAGGGAAACAGGTGGGAGCAGAGGTCCTGAGTACAGCTTTGGACATGAACTTTGTAAAGGATCGTTGGAACACGCAAGTAGAGATGCCGAGAAGGCAATGGGGACTTTGGGGAGATAGGGGGACCAAAAGTAGAAAGGAGCAGTTATGTGCAAATAAATGGTGACCAGTGGTGTGGAGGCAATGAGCTCACAGAAGGAAAACAGAGTGGAAGGGAAGGGGCTAAGGACAAGGTCAGAGCACCTGGACCCTAAGAAGCAGTAGCCAGACAAGCCAGGGGAAAACCAGGAGCACGTGGTGCCGAGAAGCCGAGGGAAGAGGCTGGAGGAGGAGGCAGCGGAACCCGATGCACACAGAGGAGCGAGACGTGTCCATAGAAGGGCACCAGCACATCTTGGTGGTCAAAGCCGGAGATGGGGAAGAGACAGCAGAGCGGGCGGGAGAGAGGGCGGAGGAAGGGTCCAGGCACAGAACGCTCACCAGAAGGGTTTGGTGGGACAAGCTCTGGTGGGAGAGGACCCCGACCGAGGGGTCAAGGTTGTCCAAACCCATACATCCCCGGGTGCTCCAGGGGCCTGGGAGAAAGGCCCAGAGCACAGTTCCGCTTCTACCCTGCTCTCTGCTCTCTGGGGCAGCGCATACTCTGCGGGTGACGCCACCAGTCTGCCCCACGACAGCTTCTTGCTGGCTGCCAAGTTCCAGTTCCTGCTTAAACCCAAGCAGGCACCTGCCCAATCTTCCGCGGTTCTCCACTTCACAACCGTTTCCTCCTACCGCTGGGTGCTTTTGAACTCAGCAGCCTTTCCTTTCTATAAAAACCTGGATCAATCAAAACACCCATCACTTTGAGTAGGAAAAGCCACTGCATCAGGCTAAGAGTGTACATGGGCATATAAGTGAGAGAGCTCCATGACGTCAGTGTCTTCTCCATAAGAGAACCAGGCCTGCCATGGGTACGTGTGTGTGTGCGTGTGTGCGCGTGCGGGTGCACATGCGCCTATGCACTCTATACTCATCTGTGAGCATGTGCGTGGGCAAGTGTAGACACTGGGTGGGTGTGCACTCATGTGTGTGTCTATGCACCGTATGCATATGCATGCATAGGAAGGTAGGAGCCAGCGTGCTAGCCTTGGCACAAGCGCCAGCCCTAATGCCTTGTCCCAATTCTGCTTGCTGTGAACCGCAGCCCCTGGGTAGCCTGGCACCCCCAACAGACAGCAAAGCCACAGAGAAGGAGAAGAAGCCACCCACGGCCACCACCAAGGGGAGAGGAAAAGGAAAAGGCAAGAAGAAGGGGAAAGGGAAAGAGGAAGCAGAGGAAGAAACGGACCCCCGGAAGCTGGAGCTGCTGAACTGGGTACGTGTGAGGGCTCTGCTTCTGTTCTGGGGATCCTGGAGACCATGGGTGGCGCCTTTGCTTCCGCCTAGAGGGGCAGTCCTTGCAGGAAGGGGCAGCGGTAGGGCACCGAGGGGACAGTCTCAGTATTTCAAAGGGTAACAGCACGCTTGCTGCCATGCGGCTGCCTTGTTGTCAAAAACACCAAATACTCCTGCTAGGGGTCAGGGCGAGGGGGGAAGATGCTAACCCAGAGAGGGTATCTCGCTGGCCTGCTCAGCAGTGGATCCCTCTACCCAGGTGAACAGATGGGAAACAAACTGCATAAATACAACACACCTTTTTTTTTTGACAGGCAGAGTGGATAGTGAGAGAGAGAGACAGAGAGAAAGGTCTTCCTTTGCCGTTGGTTCACCCTCCAATGGCCGCTGCGGCCGGTGCGCCGCGCTGATCCGATGGCAGGAGCCAGGTGCTTCTCCTGGTCTCCCATGGGGTGCAGGGCCCAAGCACTTGGGCCATCCTCCACTGCACTCCCTGGCCACAGCAGAGAGCTGGCCTGGAAGAGGGCAACCGGGACAGAATCTGGTGCCCCGACTGGGACTAGAACCCGGTGTGCCAGCGCCGCTAGGCGGAGGATTAGCCTGTTGAGCCGGCCACAACACACCTTTTTATGGAAGATGGAGCCAGAGATGTGGGGCGGGGAGGGGTGCGGGGGTTCCAGCAGCTGTCTGTGCTGGGAGGCTGCAACCACACATGCGTGGCCATTCTTGGCCTCTTTACTCCTAGGACATGGGCAAGACCAGGCACTCTGCAGTTCATCACACGGCCACTCCCCTCTGCAGGGTCCCGGTGGCCTGTTGTGTGTCTGTGAGGTCCCACAGGTACTGCCACACGGTACTTTTCTTTCAAGGAAACAAAGAGAGAAACTGGACAGAGCAATAGCAAATACTGTGCGAATGGGATTTTAAATCCTCTTCAACGCAGTTTCAAAAAGAGACAATATGGGACCGGCACTGTGGCACACTGGGCTGAGCTGCCACCTGCAACATCAGTATCCCACACAGGCACCGGTTTGAGTCCTGCCTGCTCCACTTCCCATCCAGCTCCCTGTTAGTGCACCTGGGAAAGCAGCAGAGGATGGCCCAAGTGCTTGGGCCCCTGAATCCACGTGGGACACCCGGAAGACGCTCCTGGCTCCTGGCTTCAACCTGGTCCAGCCCTGGCCATTGCAGCCATTTGGAGAGTGAACCAGTGGGTGGAAGACCTCTCTCTCTCTCTCTCTCTCTCTCTCTCTCTGCAGCTCTGCTTTTCAAATAAAAATAAATAAATCTTTTTTTAAAAAAAAAAGAGAGGGAGAAAATTTCAAACTTGGATAGAACATGTAGGGGCCAAAGAGAGGAGAAAGGAGACGGGAGACGGGGTGTGTCTGCTCAGGTGGAAGAGCACAGAGAACGGTGCTCAGGGTAACTCCAGGATCTAGGGCTCAGAGTGTCTCTCCCTGGTGTTTCCAAAGGGCCCCCCGGCTAACATCCTTCCGAGAAGCAGCTTCAGGCCCCCGTCCCTGTTCTGTGCAGGTGAATGCATTGGAGCAAGCCATGCTGGACGCCTTAGTCTTAGATCGCGTGGAGTTTGTGAAGCTCCTGATTGAAAACGGAGTGAACATGCAGCACTTCCTCACCATCCCCAGGCTGGAGGAGCTTTACAACACGGTGAGCGTTCCAGAGGGAGGAGGACAGCACACTCGTGCAAAACTGAGCCTAGAACAACTGGGACACCGTTTCAGGTGGAAGGGCCGTAACGTACGGCAGGCAGCAGTCTCTCACTCACTGTTGGCCACAGCCTGTGTTTGCATTCTTACCAAGCGCTGCCGTGCCCAGCCCGTCACAGGTGCTCCTTGCCTGACTGCAGGGGTAATGGCCTGATAAACCCATCCCAAGCCCCAAATGTTTGAACGCACCTAAGCCACCGAGCATCCTAGCTTAGCAACACAGAGCACTGTAGAGTGCCAGCTGTTCCCCTTTGGGGTCACCTGGCTGGCTGGGGGCTGAGCTCACTGCTGCTGCCTAGCATTGCACCAAATGTCATCAGTCCAGGAAAAGACCCGAATTCAATGAATGTCTGCTACTGAATGTGTAGACCACCAGAAAGCCAAAAATCCGCAAGTGAAACCCTTGTAAGTCAGGGATTGTCTGTCTTACCTCACACCCGGGATACAAGAGACTGGCTGCCACAGCGTCAGGCTGAAAGTTCACCCAGGGGTGATCAGACAAGTGGAACCCAGGACTTCCACTTTTGCTTTGAGGCTTTGGTGAAAGACTAGAACTAAGTCTTCACAGCAAGGCGCTCCCCTCTGTTAGAATGGCAGCATTCGAATGGAATCCCCTCGGTTTACATGATGATGACGTAAGTTTTGGGAGTTGCCTTCTCCTTTCCTGACCTCGGATTTTAAGTAGCAGAAATGACCCTCGGCAGTTGCTTGCTAAAACTCGGTGAATGTTTCACTCTGTTTTGTCCACCGTTGAGATGCTCTTGAAAACAATCCAGTACAAAGTGTTTCACGTGTTTTTTAATGTGTTGGATACATCTCAACTCCAGTGGATCCTGGTTCATAAAACAGGCTGATGGTGGGTCGTACTCAGGTTCTCACAACTCATTAATTCAATGTGGTAGGGCAGGATTTTACTCTGGGTTGAAAAGAAAAAAAAAAAAGGTTGAATATGGCTAAATGCTTGTCTTTCAGAGACTGGGCCCACCCAACACACTTCACCTGCTGGTGCGGGACGTGAAAAAGGTCAGTCGGTCCTCCTGTTGGTCACTCTCATCAAGCGACATCTTTTCTAAAACGTGTGATCTTCTTATTTGAGGCATAGCACATCAGGAATTCTTCCCTTTATAAAAAGAGTCCACTGAAAACTAATAAAGAAAAGGCTCCCGTGTTCTAAGTTGAGTGGACATCCCACACGTGCCACCAGCAAGCCAAATGGCCGCTTGGTTACGGCTTGGCGCCAGGGGCCACGGTCAGTGAGGGTCCTGCCGTCTCCCGGCCGAGCACCGCCGTCTGTCAGGGCAGCCGCGGCTCTGTATCTACGTGACGGTCATGCACTCCTCCGCTGTGCCCTGTCCAGAAGTAGCAGGGCAGTTTCCTCGCTTCCTTCTGTGTGCCCTGCGGGTAGCCGCAGGTGTTCTTGGCCCTCGCTGATATTTCTTATAAGGGACAGCTGCTATCCCTGTGTCCTACAGCCCCTGACCACGGCCAGGGTCTCCTCGCTCAGTGTCCTGTCACGGCACTGTCCGGGCCACGTGGCCGCGGGTTAGAGGATGAGACTGGATTCACACGGGAGGGATTCATGGTGCTGCCCCCGGCCTGTAGAATGTTCTGAGCGGGAGAAGATAACTCAGCGGAGAGGGCAGAGGCCAGGCACCCCTGAGAAGCCAGGAGTGTTGCACGCGAATATCTAACTCCAACAATATGAGAATGTGGCTTCTGTGAACGGTCACGGGAGGTCACCTGGGAGCTGAGAGTCCCCCAGGACCCTGTTTCCCACTAGGGGTCGATTCCTTCATAGGACTCGGATCTGGAGGTGCAAACATTCCAAAGCTACAGCTCATAATGGCGTTTGCAAATAAAGGGAGGCTTGCTCGAGAGACCCTAGCTCAGGCCCAAGCATCCGTACCTGGAAAGCCTCAACAATCCTCCCCTGTCCTCCACGCCTCCCCTCACCCCTTCTTAAAGCCCTCCCAAGTCTCCCCATGGGCCACAGCCTGAAGTCCAAGCTCACCCCAGGAAGGACGGGCCCCACTACACACAGCTGCAGAGCTGTCACTAGAAAAGTCCCAGCCCCAGCCCATGGCCTCCCCGGAGTCCTCCCGGTCACGCCCCATATCCGGCCTCCAGCCCCTCACCCTGGCTTCTCCCATCAGGCAGCCCTCAAAGCACCTTCTCATGCAGACAAATCCACTCCCACACAGGCAGCCGCTCCCGCTGCATGCCCCTCTCCTTTCGTTTCACACACGCGTACTGCAGACCCACCTGTTGGGTCACGGGAGTGCCCAGCCTTCGAGCCCGCAGCTCCCGGGTTGCTGTCCCTTTCTTCCCATGGGGAAAGTTTAACCCATCTTCTGGAACACAGCCACACCCACCACACCTTCCTCAATCGTATGGGGACAGACTGAACACTGTTTGATCCACACCCGTTACCCAGACTCCCAAGTTGGGCCCGGGGGAGGGGGGACCGCAGGTGTGCCAGGTGAGAGATGCAGTCCACCCTGCACGTGTGTTCTTCCGGGGCCCTAGACCACCTTTCTTCTCTTACAGAGCAATCTCCCGCCTGATTACCACATCAGCCTCATAGACATAGGGCTCGTGCTGGAGTACCTCATGGGCGGGGCCTACCGCTGCAACTACACCCGGAAAAGCTTTCGGACCCTTTACAACAACTTGTTTGGACCAAAGAGGGTAGAACTCGGTGGACGTGTCGTGTTCCGTGGTGGTCCCTGGGGTGGCGTGGGGTTCCTTGCTCTGCTTTTCAGTAACTTGGCCTGTTCAAGGCCAAATTTGCCCTCCCCCCACCCCAAGCACACCTGCCCTGTCTCCTGCAGGGGTCACTCTGAGGCGTGAGGCCGCCCTGGCCCCATGCAGAGTCATTGGCCCTCAGCCCTTAGTGCACTGGGCAGCACAGCCCACCACTCACATCTGCACAGCAGCCTTGCTCCTGGGCTCCTGGCTCTGCCCTTTCCACCCAGGCCACCACCCTGTCCCTGTAGCTGCCAACATCATCTTCCAAAGCCAAGGACAGGGCAGCGCACTCCACGCTCAGAAATGCCCAGGGCTCCCCACTGCTTGGAAGATCAGGGCCACCATCCCGGCATCCGTGGTCACCCACCCCCAATTCCCACCCCATCCTGCCCACTGTGAGCCTCCACCAGAACCAGACCCCCCAAGCTGTGGCTCTTAAACTCCTGCTCTTACCAGAAGCCCAACTCAAATGTCCCATCTTCCACGAAGCCCTCCCCTGACACACTGCCCCCTCCCCCTCCAAGCCCTGCAGGCCTGGGTCTGGATTTCTGCCTGGTTCTACCTGGAATGGGGGCTGTGTGTCCACTTCTGCTGAATGAAGCAGAGATTCCACATGAAAACATTTCTGTTCCCTGGATGTCGTCACTGTTAATGACAGAAAGTACTTTATGTTCCATGACTATGGTGTGATTAACAAGCTAACAGTTGTCTCGGTGCACTGATTTTTTTCCCCCTTCTTTCATTATACAGCCTAAAGCTCTTAAACTCCTGGGAATGGAAGTGAGTAGTTCTTTTCAATCTTTCTATGGTATCTTGGTTAAATATATTAACCCTTTTGTTTCTGTATTTGTTTACACAAGATTGACCAAGTTTGTTTTCCATAATAAATCCACCATGCTACTCACCAGAATTACTTAATGACTTAGTGAAATCACCCAAAACAATCATATACATTAATAAAGGGGTAAAGGCTACTTCACTCATTTTATAAAATTAGTAAGACCACAGTTTCAAAAGCAAGCAAAGATTAGATTCCCCCCAAAAAAGAGAATAATGGCACCTATACGTTAAAAATTATAAACAGGGGCCAGTGTTGTGGCACAGTGTCCTGGAAATTCTACCACACACACACATACAAATAAATTAAATAAATTTAATGAAAATTAGAAAAAGTAAATTAAACAAAAAACATCCTGAAGGGGAAGAAAATGATTATCAGCAAAAAATATTTTCTATCCAGAAAATATAAGAAAATCATCTAAAGTTCCCTCACAACACTAGAAAGCACCAGAAATAAGCTTAACAAGCAAAGAACAAAGACTGAGGCATGAGAACATTTAAATGCATGGAAGCAATGTCCTAACAGAATATTAGGAAAGATTCTTGTCAGATAAACTAAGATAACTAACTCAGAGTCAGACGGTAGCCCAGCTCTGTGTGGATTCCCTGTGGGAAGTTTCACTTTCGGGTTCACGGTTGAGACTGACCTTCAGCGCGGCCTCCCGGAGTCGCTGGACTTGTGTTCCTGCGGAGGCCGTGCGTTCTCCACGACTCCCTGTCCTCTCAAACTCTTTATGTCCCCTGGAGAGGCGGTCAAACCGTGTGCTTTCAATCCTGGTTGTTCAGGAGTTTGTCTTTCGCCTTCCTCGTGACACCTGTTACAAGGAGACCAGGAGGGGCCGGCTTCCTATTTCCTAGCCAGCTTCCCAGGGTAGCTCACCATTTCCTAGAGCTGATTTATTTCATCGAGACGCTCAAGTACAGTGGCATAAGTACCCACACGGTGTGCTGGTTTCACAGTCTCCTCGGCATCTTTAGCCATGTGTCATCCCTTGTTCTGGTATTTTTGAAAATTGGTATCTTTTTCCTTCACCATACTTGCCTGCAAATTGTATTGGTATTTTTGCTTCGCCCAGCAGGCTTCTGTTTTCTGCTTCTATTTTATCCAGCGTCTGCTGCTATTTTTATTCACTCCCTCACACCTTCTCAGAGTCCTGTGTTGTTTTGCTCGATTTAACTTAAAGTAGAGCTCACGCATTTGCAGTCTACCCTGTGCTCCAGTAAAAGCACTGGAGGGCTGCTTCCCCCCTACACACTGTTCTCGTGGTCTCCCACATGTGTGGGTGAGTGGCCCTTCATGTCTAAAGAGTGCATAATCTCCCCTTTACTCTAACAGCTATTTAGAAGTGTACTTTCCAGATACAGACTTCTGTTGTTTTCTTCTTGCTGTTGGTTTCCGGTTTTATTTCTTGAATTGTAGACGTACTCTTTCCGACATTTGGAATTTGTTAAAATAGAAAACTCAAAGGAATTGGGCTGTGATGCCTGGTTGCGTTTTGGTAAAGACTCATGTGTGTTGCAAATGAATGTGTATTCTCTGTTTGTTGGGTACAGTTCTATTTGTCCAACAAATCAAACTGAGGAATACTGTTATTTTATTATTTTTTAAAAATATTTGTTTATCTGAAAGGCAGAGTTACAGAGAGAGAAGGAAAGACACAAAGAGAGAGAGCGAGAGACAGAAAGAGAGAATCTTCCATCGGCTGGTTCACTACCCATATGGCTGCAATGGCTAGAGCTGGGCCAGGATGAAGCCAGGAGCCAGGAGCTTCGTCTGGGTCTCCCACATGGGTGCAGGGGCCTAATATTTGGGGCATCTTCTGCTGTTTTTCCCAGGCTATTAGCAGGGAGTTGGATCAGAAATGGAGCAGCTGGGACTTGAACTGGTGCCCAAATGGGATGCTGGCATCACAGTCGGAGAAATTAGAGAGCCAGGGTACCCCAGACCCCCAGGCTCCAGCCCACTCCAACTGTGTGAATGTGCACACTTTACTCAGACTTGGCACCAAACTTCATGTGAGCAAGCAAAAGGAATCCACAACCCTCCAAGCCAGACATTATAGGGTAGAAGTGATAACGGATGGGAAAGCTGAAAAAGAGCAAATACGGTCCTCCCCTCATATCCTCGGGCAGTTGCTTCCACGCTGCACCTCTGATCCCAGAATCTGGATGCTCAAGTCCCTTATATAAGAGGGGGTGATATTTGCCCATAATCTACTGACCCCCCCCACACACACATACATTGCATCACCTCTAGATTACTCGTACCCAGTAGAAAGTAGACACTATGCAGTGGGTTGCCGATTGTTTAGGGAATAATGGCAAGAAAAAACATGTGCATGCATTCAACAGCAAATTCCACTTCTTTCCCAACCATCTTCAACCTGCAGTTGACTGAGTCCTCTCGTGCGGCACCTGCAGATAACAGAAAGCTGCCCGTGTCTGTTTCTGGTTTTCCACTGAGTGCTGACGTCAGCCTGGGAGAGTGTCAGCCCCATGATCCCCGTGCCAGGCCTCCCCGACGTGACCCCGTCCAGCTCCTGCTCCTTTCTGGTTCAGCTATGTCTGGCCAATGGGGGTTGCTGTTTTGCTGCATTGGCAGATTTCCTAGAGGTCACAAGGTGTGGACGTTACCCCTCCTGTGGGGCTACTGCGTTTAGTTTGGGGGTGGTTTTTTGTTTGCTTGTTTTCCAACATCTCGGCTAAAGGCTTCTTAAGAAAACCGCTCCCCCACCCAAACAGCAGCGTGACTTTGCAGCCTCTCTGGTTTTAGGCAGCTTACCTCCCACAGTCAACACGGGCATCTTTTCCAAAGAACTGGTAGGCTGAGTGAAGACTGACCGGTCCCTTTACCACCTCTGCCAGGCAGGTCGTTCTAGAACCTTCTGCCGCACATTCGTGGCAGAGCCACAGACCGCGTGCTTTTGTGCTCTCAGGATGACGAGCCTCCCGCCAAAGGGAAGAAAAAGAAGAAGAAGAAGAAGGAGGAGGAGATCGACATCGACGTGGACGACCCCGCCGTGAGCCGCTTCCAGTACCCCTTCCACGAGCTCATGGTGTGGGCGGTGCTGATGAAACGCCAAAGGATGGCCGTCTTCCTCTGGCAGCGAGGCGAGGAGAGCATGGCCAAGGCGCTGGTGGCCTGCAAGCTCTACAAGGCCATGGCCCACGAGTCCTCGGAAAGCGAGCTGGTCGACGACATCTCCCAGGACCTGGACAACAACTCCAAGTGAGTGTCCGCAGGGGGCAGCGAGGGCCTGGAGAGAGCCCTGTCCTGGGGACTGGTCCCGTGGGGGGAGGGCCACCAGGGTGCTGCGCACTTGGGGACACTTAGGCTAAAGCCTGCCTGTCAATCACTTGGCCGGTCAGGTCACTCTCTTCCCTCTGGCCCTGATTTGGTTTCCTGCCTTCTCATGCAGATTTTATTGCCAAAACAATGAAATGAGTTTCTGTGCGGAAGCTCGGGCTAACTAGGAGGGCACCATTGTGGAGCCCAGGCCCTGGACGGAGTGTCAGTTCTTTCTCCCTGCTCAGGAGGGCTGCGATGGCTAGAAGGGACTGGGGTTTCCCTCTCCCCAGCAGACGGGGCTCTGTTAACTACTGTGCCCCGAGGGCAGGCCTCGTTGGAAAGAACAGTCCCTGGGTGGGTGTTGGGTCCCAGCAGGTCAAGCCGCCACTTGGGACATGCACTGCCCATATCAGACTGTCATTCAAGTCCCGGCTGCTCCCCTCGTGGTCCAGCTTCCTGTTAATACACCTGGGAGGCAGAAGACTTGCTTAGGACCCTGTCACCCACAGGGGAGACCTGGGTGGAGTTCTGGGCTCCTGGCTTTGGCCTGGCCCACCCCTGGCTATTGTGGGTATCTGTGAAGTAAACCAGTGGATGGAAGATCTCTCTCTCTCTCCCCATTCAAATAGATGAAAATAAATAAAAATAAACATTTTTAAAATGGTTCCTTTTCTCCCGAGCTTCCTGGAAATAGGAGTTATTTATAATTTAAAATTTATAATTATAATTATTTATAATGAATCATTATTCATTTTTCACTGTGACAACCTGGCCATGCTCATAGAGACACAGAAGCCTGCCCACCCGCGCCCTATAAAAAGGGCTCCCTGAAGTTTTGGCCATACTGGGCCTCCCGCGGTTCATCAGTCACAGTCCATAGTTGCCCTCCCCAGCACTGGTCCCACAGACGTTTCTGTTCCAGTCAGTCGTGAGTCTCTGAGCCTACTCCTCTGTCTCACCAAGTGGGCGACAGCAGTTTGTCCTGTGACTGCACTTCCGGAACAGCAAAACAGAGTCACTGATGCTCGGCTTCTTCAACTTTTTCCTTGGCAGGCCTGACTGGTGATTTCCAATTTCCTTGCACCTAAGACTGGACGCTGGAAGTCCCAGCACGACTTTGCAGACTCATAAACTTGGGGCAGAGCCAGGCAGCCAGCAGCATCTCCCACCTTGGTTTTCTGCAGTGCACTGCGTTGATTTTGGCCTCCATGATTGCTAAAACTGCTGGCTGACTTCTAAACATTCAGAATTCAAAGCATTGAAAATGGGGACACGCCCGCCTCCCTGCAGGGTCCCACAGTGCGTCTGTCCCTTGCTGCCAGGGTGACTCATCAGATATCTGCACTGGGGTCATGTGGGAAAGTGAATAAACCTCTTGTTTAAAGTTCAGCTTGCGTCACCTTCACAGGCCCCACCCTCACCAAACTTACTATCACCGCCACCCGCATCACCCCCGTGTGATTAACGACATGCTCCCTGCTCTGTGTCCTACGAAAACTGTGTCTTGTCTCTACCATAGCACCGGAATGTTGAGTTCTCTTATAACCATTGCATCCCTGAAGTACTGTAATCACAGAGCAACACATATCCTACATGTATGGCTGGATAACTTCACGAACAAAACCCAGGGGCACAACCAGCTCCTAGAACCAGAATCAGAACCTAACCAGAACCAGAACCTAACCGGCACCCACAAGGCCTCTCAGTGTCCGCCTCCTGCTCCCTGCCCCAAAGGCAGCTGCTATGCGGACTTTCATCCCACAAGGGCTGTTCTTGACCCCACCTTCCCTGTCCCTTCTGTTTGTCTCCCTGATCTTTGCTCATCCCCATGTCCCTGGGGACCGAGGAGCAGACTTGGGCTGAGCCCAAATCTCCATTTTCAGCAAGGGCCATGAGCCCCCCACAACTAAGCACATTTGCTGCCCCCTTTTTGCAAGCGTCTGTTTCCTTCTTGCTTGGAGGATTCTGTGTCTGGCGGCTTCACCTGTGCCTGTGGACATGTCTGGCTAAAACGGGCTGCTGGCCGTTGGCTTCATCCCCTGTTCTGTTTCTTTCTCCAGAGACTTCGGCCAGCTTGCTGTGGAGCTGTTGGACCAGTCGTACAAGCACGATGAGCAGATTGCCATGAAACTTTTGACCTACGAGCTGAAAAACTGGAGCAACTCGACCTGCCTCAAACTGGCTGTTGCAGCCAAACACCGGGACTTCATTGCACACACCTGCAGCCAGATGCTGCTGACTGACATGTGGATGGGGAGGCTTCGAATGAGGAAAAACCCTGGCCTGAAGGTATCTATGATGTGGCTGTGAGACTGGTAAGGATGAAGCGACAAGGAGGCCAGTTGAACTCCCACTCTCTGCTAGGCTGAGCTAAGCACTTCTGGTGGGTTATCTCACTTACTCTTGGTCAGTCCCATCGTAGCCACGGTTTTGCTTCCTGCCATTTCAGTTATCTGTGGTCATAAACAGTCTAAAAATATTAAATGGACAAGTTTTTCAGAAACAAACAATTTGCGAAATTTTAAATTGCATGTTATTCTGAGCCTCATGGTGAAATCTCACACGGTCTCAATTCATCCACGAATCACCCCCTCCTTGTACAGCGTGTCCACAGTGTGTGCACCACCTGCCTGGTAGTTACTCTGTAGCCCTCTGGCTTATCAGATTGCCACTGCTGTGGCATTGCAATGCTTGTGTTCATGGAACCCTTGTCTTCCTGAATACTGGCCTCTGAGTGCAAGAGTAGGGATGCAAAGTATGACACACGAGAGGGCAGATCGCCACTGGCACCATGTGGCAATGCTGCAGGGCACGCAGGAACAAGTGTCATCTAGCCAGGGTTTGGCACCGTCCATGGTTTCAGGTGTTCACTGGGGCCTTGGAATGTGGCAGCCAGTGATAAGAGGGGAGACTGCTGTCGTCCCCTGAGAAACTACATGAAAGAGATTCTCCAACAGTCCACATAACCCTGCAGCTCTGAGGGTAAGGAACTTTCCCAGGACCTCACCTGGCCAGTGTGCTCTCAGGTGGTTGAACACCAGAGCCCCGCCCAGCAGACATGCCCGGCCTGCACAAACTGCTGACACAGTCACCGTCTGCCCATGGAACTCCCATGATTATGCACCCTGAACCGGCCACTGCTGCCTTGGAAACAGGACCCTGAACTCTGTTCTTTCTTTTTTCTTTTCTTTTCTTTTTTTTTTTTTTTTAATTTGAGAGACAGGGAGAGAGTGCTTGCATCCACTGGCTCAGTGCCCCAAATGCCTGCAATGGCCAGAATTAGGCCACGCTACAGCCAGGAGCCAGGAACCCAATCCAGACCTCCCATGTGGGTGGCAGAAAGTCAATGACTTTATCCATCTGCTGCTTCCTCCCGGAATCTGCACTGGTAGGAAGCCAGGACAGGGGGCCAGAGCTGGGAGTCAAGGCCAGGCACTGCAACGTGGGATACAGGTGTCTTAACTGGTGTCTAAACTGCTAAGCCAAACACCCAGCCCTGAACTTTATTTCTGTAGATTAGAATTCTGAAATCAGGTGATATTATTGTAACTGGCATGTTTTCATTCCATGCAGTTTATAAGAGAACATGAAGCTATGAAAGAGTTTGAGAAGGAGTAGCAGAGAGAAGATTGTATTATAATCAAAATTTAGCTCTGCCACTTTCAACTACCATGTTACGTTGAGAATGGATTCTAATCTGCAGATCCCCAGCTGCTAAATGGCAACAGTACATGTGTGGCATCCCCTGGAGGGAAAAGGAGAAAATGTGAACGCACTCCTAACGGTCATGGAGAACTCATATTGTGAAGAAACTCTCCATGGATTTCAAGGCTTTTGCACCAAAATAAACTCATATTTTAAATCCATGGTCCCTGAACTCTCTGAATTATCCTTGTATAGGAATAGGTGTAGGTGTAGGTTTAGGTATTGTACATGTATATATATGGAATGCTATGTAGCATGGTCTGGCAAACAGAAGGCATTGGCACCTGTCCAATTCTACATAATATGCTCTGCTGATGTGATGCATAACTTTGAATATTAATAACCAAATAGCCTTCAGGATGCTCAGAACAAAGATATTCTGAAGGTTTTAAAGAAAATAAAACAAGTCGCGTATAAAGGGAGGAACATCAGATTGCATCAGACTTCAGCAGAGCGAGGCTGTCACAGTTCTGCGGGGCAAACACTTGGGACCTGGAATTTTCTAACCCAGTCTTACTATTTAAAATCATGAAGAAAGGGGCCAGTGCTGTGGCCTAGTGGGTACAGCTCTGGCATCACATATAAACACTGGGTCAGGTTCCAGCTTCTCCATTTCTGACCCAGCTCCCTCTAATGTACCTGGGAAAGCAGTGGAAGATGGCCCAAGTTCGTGGGATCCTGCACCCACGTGGGAGACCTGGAAGAAGCTCCTGGCTCCTAGCTTCAGCCTGGCCCAGCTCTGGTCGTTGTGGCCATTTGGGGAGTGAACTAGCGGATGGAAGAGCTCTCTTTTTGTCTCTGTCTCTCCCTGTCTCTATCTCTCTCTGTCTGTCTCTCCCTCTCTGTCTCTGTAACTCTATCTTTCAAATAAACAAATATTTAAAAAATAAAACAAAATAAAATGATGAGGAGGGGCTGGCGCTGTGGCATATTGGGTAAAGCCACCACCTGCAGTGCCAGCATCCCAAATGGGCGCCCATTCGAGTCCCAGCTGTTCCACTTCTGATCCAGCTCTCTGTATGGCCTGGGAAGCAGTAGAGGATGGCCCAAGTCCTCGAGCCCCTGCACCCACGTGGGAGACCCGGAAGAAGCTCCTTCAGATCAGTGCAGTTCCGGCCATTGCGGCCAATTGGGGAGTGAACCAGCGGATGGGAGACCTCTCTCTCTCTCTCTCTCTCTCTCTCTCTCTGCCTCTCCTTTTCTCTCTGTGTAACTCTGACTTTCAAATAAACAAATAAATCTTTAAAAAAATTATGAGGAAAGAATATCTATTTAAGACAGTCTTATAACCATTCAGAAAAATGACTTCAGCAGGTATCCCAGCAAAAAAGCAGGTGTGTGGGGGGAGGGGTAAAAATTACAAGAGCAGAGGGAATGTGGGATGCAGGAAACAAGCTCCATGTTTTTTTCAAACCCCCATAGAAGCACTGTGCAGCAGAGTGACAGGCAGCCGGGTTCGGTGAGTGCAGAGAGGTGGGTGTGGCATTCAAAAGAAAGCACTGGGGAAGAACAGAGTGTCTCCCATAAATAGACAGGGACCAGGAAGCCACAAAGCATCATGGATATGGGTTAGGGAAGCAAAACCAGTTTATAGTTCCTAACAAGAAATGGAAAGGGAACCACAATCTCAGGAAAAAACAAAGTGCATGCCAAAGCCAAGTTCACGCAGGATTCAAGCTAAACCCTGAATCATAGAGTGTAGGAAAGCACTGTTGACAATGACAACAGGTTTTCCATCTGTGGCCCAGGGCACCCTTTAGTTGTCTGGACTGGCCCAGTTGAGTGTGTTTCTGTGAGTCTCATTAGCCTTCCGACTCTTAAGTTCACATCTGAGGGGTTTTCAGAAAGTTTCCAGAAAACGTGTATCATGAAAAAAACTATGCACGGATCTCCAAATTTTCTGCACCAAAAATGAACGTATCTTTTCATTCCATCTTTCCTCAGACTTCAACGTTGGAGTCCCCTCATATTTACAGCCACATAACTGCCTGTCCATAGCACAGTTCTGGTCTCCTGCTCTGAACTTCACCATAATATTTGATTTCCTTATTTACATTATTATAAGTGAAAGATTCCCTTGCTCTGAAATCTCACATGAGAACTTGGCCTGATTGCCACAGTGCTGCTTGCCATGCCTCTGAGAAGTTCAGTGCATATCCTTGAATTTGTCACTGTCTGCCACTCTGGCAATGGAGCAACCCCAAAGCCACTGAGCACCAGAGCAGGGGTCTGCACAGGGCTCTCAGGTTACTGATGGACGTTAGTGGTTGTGACTTTAAAATGCCAGCAACGCCATGGCTTACACATGGATTTATTTCTCGCCACTTCTAGGTTATCATGGGAATTCTTCTCCCCCCCACCATCCTGTTTTTGGAATTCCGCACGTATGATGATTTCTCCTACCAGACATCCAAGGAAAATGAAGACGGCAAAGAGAAAGAGGAGGAGAATATGGTCAGTCGCACCTTGCCCCTGGAAGCATCGATTTGCTGTCATTTACAGAACTGTTGAGGGTTTTCTGATGTGGATTTAGAAACCTCTTGAATTGCAGATGCGGTCATCCTTGGTATCCGCAGGTGACTGGCTCCAGGAGTCTCGGTGGATACCCAACTCCACAGATGCTCAGGCCCTTACATATAAAATGCCACCATAGCGTTTGCATATGACCTACACACATCCTTCTGTTTACCTGAAATTGAATCTAGATGACTTTAATACCTAAACAAGATACACGCCACAGTTGTTACTGGCAAATAATGATAAGGAAGAGAGGTCTGTCCATGTACAGTACAGATGCGTTTTTTTTTTTTTTTTTTTTCAAATATTTTCAGTCCCTGGTTGGTTCAATGTGTAACCTGAGGCTCCCAGGAGCCAGCTGTAGTTTTTCATAATTCTTTGTTTACAAAAGTGCCTGTGGGCTGGGGTACACTGCATTTCCATTTAACAACCTGCTTGCCATGTGCTGTGCTATTTTCCAGGATGCAAATGCAGATGCTGGCTCCAGAAAGGGGGATGAGGAGAATGAGCACAAAAAGCAAAAAAGTATTCCCATTGGAACCAAGATCTGCGAATTCTACAATGCTCCCATCGTCAAGTTCTGGTTCTATACAGTAAGCCTCCTCCTTAGCGTGTCCCCGTTAGCATGTTTTGAATACTTAGATATGTTGAAATCAAGAAAGATTTCAAGGGCAAAGAAAGTGTCTGATCACTGAATTAAATTGAATTATGAAAGCAAATGAATTATGGAACTGAAAACTTTCAAACTAGATCTAGCTATCTTGTCCAAGGTACACAAATATGGCCATCCTAGCCCCAGATACATAATTTCTTGAAACAAAGTGGTTGAATTCTTTTTGCTTAAGATGAAGAATTGTATACATGCCTTTAGCAATGCAACCTTAGGGGAATACAGACTTATTTTTAAATGAACAAAGACGACTAGTGTATAAACAGCAAGCTCAAATATCCCATTTTCCATTAAACTGATGAGATTACTAAAAGGACGTGGCTGAACCCAGATCGTAAACTCCTAAAATAAAGAGGCAGATCAAGGCCTTTCTCTCCTAAGTGTCCATCAGACTGACCCCCGGGCCAGCACACCACCCTCTGGCCTCCTTGGCGCCCAGGTCTCAGCAGCTCCAGGGGTGTGGCTCACTGCAACAAGGACAGGAGGAGAAAGAGTAGACTGGAATGCATCTGGGGAAAACCGTCCCAGCAGGGGTAGCCAGGCAGTGTGGCTCAGGCAGCCATGTCAGTCTGAAGTGCAGACAGGACCGCTCATGAAATCCCAAACACCAAGCCACAGTCCACATCGGGCAGATCCTGGTGCTGCGGTTCCACTGTTGACCAAGCAGGGACAGGAGATGGGACACGGGGCCAAGTCCAGGGATACCAGGCAGGCAATGGATGCTGGTGGGCAGGGGTCAAGGAAGCGCTCTGAATGGAAGTGGACAGCCTCGGGGTGAGCCGCAGGCCTGGGCACCCAACCCCTTGGCAGCCACAACTGATGATGATGTCCGCCTATTCAAGTCAGAACCGGTGGAGGCCTGAGATGCGGCAGCCTGCGGGAGCCCTCCACCCCAGACAATGCAGAAGAGGGCAGTCCAGGAGATCCACAGCCCCAGCCCAGGCTTCCAGCCTTGGGCCTCACCCCAGACCGCCCAGATGTGAGGGAGGATGTCACGCAGGTGTCAGTTTCCCAGGGATTCGGACACAGGCCAGTGTTTAGAGAACCCTGTCTCACCCTCTAGTAAGCAGTAGGCAGTTGACTCAGTCTGTTTTCCAATGCTGTAACAGAACACCTGAGACTGGATTGCTTATAGCAAAGATGCTGATTTTGGTTCATGGTTTTGAGAGATCCAAGAGCTGGATGTGTGGAAGAGAGAGAAGGGACAACCCACACCCACCAGAACTAACTAGTCCATTCCCAAGAGAACTAATCCAAACTCACTCACTCCCCAGAGACAGTATTACTCCCTTCATGAGAGCCTCAGCACCATCCCATTAGCAAGTAGGCTTCGGCATGAGTTTGGGCAGGGACAAACCATGGCAGCAGTGAATACAGGAAGCTTCATCTGTGTCCTGATAAAGCTGATGCCACAGGGAGAGGGGAATCTTAAAAAAATAATAATAAAAACAAATAAATAAAAGACTTGCCAAATCACAAATGCACAGGTGCGGGGGCCCCTCCCTCCAGACTTCAGAAGACGCTGGTGCCAGGGAGGAAAGATTCCTCGGGAGATGCTGAGCACCCTGGGACAACCGACTGCAGACGGCCTCCCTCCCCTCTGCGCCCCGCCTCAGCTCCCCCTCTTTCCTCGCCACAGAGATAGGGACCCTCTTGCAGCCACCGCAGGGGTCTCCTGGGTCAGCTCCACGGGCCTGGGCACACAGCTTATCCACATGCCATCTGTCAGTAGGGACAGAACCCGGAGGGAAAGCAGAGGGGCTGCGAGGAGGAAGCGCCAGCTCCAGCTTCCAGGAATGCAGAAGACGCTTACGAGCTGCCTCTGTGTCATAGTTTTTGCAGCTTCATAATTTCCCCGTTGAGGATGACAGCACCGATAAATATGCCTCTGTAGAGAACAAACTCCCATGCCTCTGTCCTGCTGATGGATGAAATGCCTCGCAACCACCCCCAACCGCTGTGTCTGCAGTGATGGCGCTCAGGGAGGGCCAGCTCCGATGAGTCAGCCCAGCTGGAAGAGCAAATCCACCGTAGTGTCAGCCTGAAAACAGCTTCCAAACCGGCCTCGGGCACGTCCCTCCAGACATGCTGACAGCTTTCCTTCCTTTCAGATTTCCTACCTGGGCTACCTCCTGCTGTTTAACTATGTCATCCTGGTGCGCATGGATGGCTGGCCCTCCCTCCAGGAGTGGATCGTCATCTCCTACATCGTGAGCCTGGCGTTAGAGAAAATCCGAGAGGTGATTGCAGAGTCTCGTCCCAGCCCCGCTAACCGCTGGCTTCAGTTTCAGATATGGCTCCTTAGTGCCCAGAGTTCACACAAGTATGTGGGTCTGTCCTTTGGGGGTGTCACACTCCCAAGTGTATTTCATTAATCTGTCTCCGATGTATATGCCTTCTCCTTCCAATTCAACTTGCACTTGCAAATCAAAATAGAGGACAAAATAAATGATACATAGCAATAAAAGCAGGTCTGAGTGCATACTGGGCACACATTTTGGCTCTGTTTTCTGAGTCCTGAAACTCAAAATGGAGATTCTTGTAATTTAAGACTTCTACAGTGCACACTTGGACCCTTGTGCAATGGACTAATGAAACAAGGGCTCTCAATGGGAGGGAGAGAGGTGGGGGCTGCAGGCAGACAAAGGGAGGGGAAGGGTGAGTGGGGTGTGCTTTCTAGCCCTGGCCTAATCCTGAAGGGGGCTCTCAGTGGATTGGATGTCACAGAGTCTACCCCACCTTGAGTGAAGGGAGCAGAGTTTGTATCCACATAGGTACCCAGGGGAGGGGTGGCTCCAATTGCCCAAGGGCAGGCCTCCCGGAAGGGGACAGGTGTGGGCCTCACAGCGGCACCTGCACCAGATGGGGCGGGCACAGCCCCTGGGTGGAAGGCCCCCGGGGATTTGGGTGGGGCCCAGAACATCTGCTGCCAAGGGAGGGAACACGATTTTCAACCACCTGCTGAAAAGGAGGACACTGCTCACACATGACTTACATCACAGAGACCTTAAAATTAATACGAACCTCCAGGGAGGCAAGCTCTGCGGGTCACAGAGGAAAGATGGGCCAAATCCTTCTCTTTCTAGTATCACCCACAGTTTCAATACCCTGCATCTGCTTATAAAGAGAAAGCAAGCTTGTATGCGAGCAAACACAAACTTGAACTAAAAAGCACGCAGCACAATTTCCTATCCTTTCTCCAACTGACACAGAACCAATACTGTTCATTTAGAATTACTGCTGACCTGAAAAGCAGGACCCGTGATCCAGGGAGAGGCAGCATTAAAGCTGCTGATCTAATGAGAGCCCCAGAAACCAAGAGAGCTCCGAGTCCCAGGTTGTACAGCCCCGTCCTGGATAATGGCTCTGTTTCCTAGCCGAGCGCCATCCGAATTCTGCAGAGGCTACAACTGGGATTTCCCAAGTGGCCGAGGGTCCCACCTCTAGTGCCCTTGAGACCTTGCTGAGCCCGAGCCATCCATGGAGACAGGAGCCTGCCCTCCAATTACAGGAAGGACAGGGCAGCCGGTGGCTGGCATGCACAGCTTCTAAAACCAGTGAATCCCTTTGGAGTTGGCTGCAACACAACTGCCCCCCTCATGCCACCCCTGCGATCCTGGAACCTCCCCAGGATCTCCCCATCTAGCGGTGTAGCCCCCACCCTGCTGTAGTGCCACAGCTGTGCCCGCCAGGCCTGCTCTCTGCACGCCCATGCATGCTGCTTGCTAAATATTTTCCATTTTACCCCGTGGAAGTCTCATTTTAATCAGTGGTGATTTTGAAAGGGTGATTTCTCAAGCGGGGAACATCTGGTCCCATTTTCCCCTGACTTCTCATGTCTAAGTGGCAGAGGGGTCTCAGCAGCTCAGCATTTCCCACTCCGTCCTGTCGTCTCCCTTGGATGGACTGCAGCTCCGTGGGACCGTGCAAGGATGACCCCTGCTCTGGGGCTCTCCTCCTGCAGCAGCCCAGAACGTGGCCTGGCAGGCACATGGCCAGATCATTAGAAAAGAAGTCAAAAGGCAGCTGCTTTAATTACAGCCAGAAGGAGACAATTTGGAAGGCATTTCCTGAGAGTCTCTGGAACCCTCAATCTAAGAACACAGAGGATTCTGTGGAATTTCCCTTTCTAGAGAGTGCTCTCTGCCCAAGATTAGCATTTAAAGGTCTTGAGGAGGCAAGAGACCAGATGCCCCGGATTGTTCCACCAGGCTTGTCTTCCCAAGATTCTAAGAAGACAAGGCTTCCAATACTGCGCTCTCTGTTTATTGTTCTTTGGGCTTGTTTTCAGATTCTCATGTCAGAACCAGGCAAACTCAGACAAAAAATAAAAGTCTGGCTTCAGGAGTACTGGAACATCACCGATCTCGTGGCCATTTCCATGTTCATGATCGGAGCAATCCTTCGCCTGCAGAACCAGCCGTACATGGGCTACGGCCGGGTGATCTACTGTGTGGATATCATCCTCTGGTACATCCGGGTCCTGGACATTTTTGGAGTCAACAAGTACCTGGGGCCCTACGTGATGATGATTGGAAAGATGGTGAGTAATGACAGCTTGTCAGTCACCAAAGATACTTGGCTATGGTAGAACCTGAGACCAGGCCTTGGCGTGGCTTCCTCAGATGTCATTTGGTCTTTGTGGTTCCTCCCTCCCTCTCTCTTTCTTTGTATTTGGGAGGCAGGGAGAGAGAGAGAGAGAGCAAGCGAGCAAGCGAGCGAGCTCCCATCTGCTGGTTCACTTCCCAAATGTCCACAATAGCTGGGACTGGGCCAGATTGAAGCCAGGAGCCAGAAAATCAATCCAGTTCTCCCCCATATGGTTGGCAGAAATCCAGTTACTTGAGCCATCACCTGCTACTGTCCTGGGTCTGCATTAGCAGGAAGCTGGCACTGGGGGCAGAGCTGGGACTAGAACCCAGGTAACCTGGTATGGGATGTGGGCATCTTGACTGCCAGCTACTCACCTCGGCAGTTGCTTTCTTACTGGGAATTCTTTGCTTTGAGATACACAATTCTCCTCCCCAGTTCATTACCTGACAATGCAATAGAAAAACCAGAGTTAAGGGTTTATTGTATATTTACATGTGTACACACACACACACACACACCCCTCAGTATGTATCAGGCACTTGATACATACCAACTTCCTTTTTCCATATCATATTTAAACTGCATAATGACCAAATATTTTTATTTTTATTCCTTCTAATTTATTATTAATAAGTACATTTTTGACAGTAAGATAAAATATCCTCTTCTTTTATAAGACTGCTTCAAACTACCTTCCCAGGGCAAAAGAAAACATTTAAGTGTTGATGAAATAGGAATTCAGTAGTAAAAGATCTCAAAGTATTTACTCTACATCTTGACAGCTAGAAATGTATTTTCAGCATGCTTTATGCACAGGGACCTGGATTTGATGTTCTGCAAGGTTACATCCACAATGTTTATTTGGCATAAACACGATCAACAACCTTCTAAGCTGTAGTAGAAGCTGGAGATAGAGGAATCCAGAGCTCTTCCGTCACCCTCACTCCAGAAAATTTTTGGCTCCTGTGGAATAGAAAATAAAGGAGTAGTAATAAAGGTGATTGGGCCCAGACAAATCCACACCTGCGTTGATTCCAGAACACGTCACAGAATATGAGACTGAAAATGAGCCAGCAGGAGCCTCACATTACCCAAAATAGCTTCACTGTTAGCACTGGTCCCACAAAAAAGAAAGACTCCTAGGTTTTGGCATAATTCTTACAGAGAGGCAGAGGCAGAGAGAGGGAAGTCTTCCATGGCTGCAACGGCTGGAGCTGAGCCCATCCTAAGCCAGGAGCCAGGAACTTCTTCTGGGTCTCCCACACAGGTGCAGGAGCCGAAGGACTTGGGCCATTTTCTGCTGCTTTCCCAGGCCATAGCAGAGACCTGGATTGGAAGTGAACAGCTGGATCTCAAACCAGTGCCCATATGAGATGCTGGCAATGCAGGTGGTGGCTTTACCAGCTATGCCACAGCGCTGGGCCCTGGAATAATTCTTAGTAGATCAAGTATCTGTGAGCTAAAGATACAGGGTTCAGTTAATTCCAGTGAGGGCCCTCATCCTCATTTTAAGGGATGGTCAAAATTAGGAATTAATTAATAAGTTAATTAATTAATTAATACCCCAGTAACCCAAGCATTGCTCACTGTGACCCTGCAGCAGTTGTAATGAATGGATTAATATTGGTGTACACCCTCCATTCATTATCTTTTTACCTCCATAAGTATCTCCTCTGACTCCTTAGCTTTCCTTACACACACTCATCTTTTTTCATGATTCTTCCCTTTGTCGACTGGCAGTTGTAGTTAATAAAGGAACATCTACTTATGGGCCACAAAAGGGGAGATGCAATGAGGTCGAAAAGTGGATGAGGTTAGAAACGCTCTAGAATAAGACAAATGCAATGCACAGAGTAGGAAAAACTAGTAGCCCATGGATGGGTGGGAAGAAGGAGAGGAGGCTTCCTTCAGCCAAATAAAGCATTTTGGAGAGAGCAATATGGGCATATGAGCATAAAAAACTGAGGTGAACTTGGCCCATGGAGTCAAGACAAATAAGAGACCTGTGTTCTCTGTACTCAGATGATCGACATGCTATATTTTGTGGTCATCATGCTGGTGGTGCTGATGAGTTTCGGAGTGGCCCGTCAAGCCATTTTGCACCCAGAGGAGAAGCCTTCTTGGAAGCTGGCCCGAAATATCTTCTACATGCCCTACTGGATGATCTATGGAGAGGTGTTTGCAGACCAGATAGACCGTAAGAATAGAATTCATAGTAAGATTCTCTTCCCTGCTTCCAAGGAAGATGATCAGCTCCAAATTAATGGAAGAGCACACACATTAATTTGGAAACAAAGTTAACTTGTATTCTGCATCAGATTATTTCATTTTTCAACCTTTTTTTTTACATTTATCTATTCTCATTTTTTAGTTGAAAGGCAGAGAGAAAGAGAGAGATCTTTCTTCCATCTGCTGTTCTCTCCCTAAAAGCCCCCAACAGCCAGGGCTGGATCAGGCCAGAGACAAGAGCCCAGAACTCCACCCAGGTCTCCCTTGTGGGTGGCAGGGACCTGAGTACTTGAGCCATCATCTGCTGCCTCCCAGGATTTTCATCAGTAGGAACCTGAATCAGATGCAGAACCAGGACATGAACCTTGCAATCCGATATGGGATGCAGGTGTCCCAAGTGGCAATTTAAGTCTTTGTGTCAAACGCTCTTCCTGCATTAGATTATTTTAGGCATCAAATTATTTTATGAAGGAAAAAAAGTAAAGACTATGGAATGTAGATTTGGAAGCACCAGTCATTTATTTTACTCTAAAAAGTCATTCAGTAGAGTTCTGAAAGACTCACTTCCCTTCCATTGGACCTTGTTGACGTCCTATTGCGTGAATGTAGTCCCAGGGCCAATATCCTAGTTTTCCTTCAACTCCAGTAATTTTCCACCTCAGGATAAAGCTGATAGTGTACTTCCAGTAGAACAAAATAGCACAGCAATGCAACTGACCCCTCATATCTTCTTTTTCTTCAAGCCATCAAAGCCAATTTTCCAACAGCTATCCATTTCCTCTTCACTACTGGAGTATTTAAAAAAAAAAATCAACAATGGTCTGGCTATTGGCAGAGGAAATGAGCCACAATCCTGCATGTGCTTCTAGGGCATGTAGGCCCCAGCTCCGCTGCAGGCTGAGCCGACAGGTCAGGGTGTCTGCTGCGTGGTGGGGACGTGCAGCCCAACTGTTCTTGTCTCTAATTCACCAAAAAAGAAATCCTTCAGTCCTGTTTTCACGTAGGTCCCAACATTTTTGTTTGCATATTGTACCATGTGATAAAGCATCAAGGACGAGAGTGTGTCTGCTGTCTTCCCCCTCACGTAGGAAATGCAGTTGTTAGTTTATCAGCCACGACTAGGACTGACAACAAGTTCACATGGTAATTCTTTTTTTTTTTTTTTTTTTTTTGACAGGCAGAGTGGACAGTGAGAGAGACAGAGAGAGAAAGGTCTTCCTTTGCCGTTGGTTCACCCTCCAATGGCCGCCGCTGCAGCCGGCGCACCGTGCTGATCCGATGGCAGGAGCCAGGATCCAAGTGCTTTTCCTGGTCTCCCATGGGGTGCAGGGCCCAAGCACCTGGGCCATCCTCCACTGCACTCCCTGGCCATAGCAGAGAGCTGGCCTGGAAGAGGGGCAACCGGGACAGAATCCGGCGCCCCGACCGGGACTAGAACCCGGTGTGCCGGCGCCGCAAGGTGGAGGATTAGCCTATTGAGCTACGGCGCCGGCCCCACATGGTAATTCTTTCTCACTTCTACAACACGATTCTGAACACATCTTTATTACAAGTATCACAAAGTCAACCATTAAATGTTTTTATAGTTTTGAAATCCAACCTGGTATCATATATTTTAAAAGTCCCTAGACTTCAAGTATGTTGTAATATTTTCATGGTTTTTTTTTAAATTATCATTAATGTGGATGAGAGAGAAAATAGGTAAAGTTGAGGTTATACTATTTTCTTTTTTTTCCTAAGATTTATTTTATTTATTTAAAAGGCAGAATTACAGAGACAGGGAAAGACAGAGAGATCTTTCATCCTCTTGTTCACTCCCCAAATGGCTGCAACAGCTAGGGCTGGGCCAGGCTGAAGCCAGGAGCCAGGAGCTTCTTCTGGGTCTCCCATGTGGGTGCAGGGGACCAAGCACTTGGGCCAATCTTCCACTGCTTTCCCAGGCTATTAGCAGGGAGCTGGATCAGAGAAGTGGAGTAGCCAGCCAGGACTCGAACTGCTGCCCATATGGGATGTCAGTGTTTGAGATGGCTTGACCCACTACATCACAAGGTTATACTATTTTCAATAACATCATGAAATGCAGCTTTTCAATTCTTGATTGGTTACCTAACAATTTTATATCTCGTTGTGCTTATGTGGTGTTTGTGTTAGAATACAGAGAATCTCTGACTGGTTAACCTGTAAATTAAAATGATCATTTGCCAGTAACAGCATCAGTTTCTCATAGTATTTTTAACGAGTGAACTTTTGCTGTTATTCATGACATATGGCAAAATAAATGTGAAATATATTTCCTAAAATTAATATGGACAATTCTTTAAAGAGATCACTGTTTCCATAAATGAACCTGGAATTCCCAAGCTTGAAATATTTTCATTCCTTGACAACAAATGTTCTTGTGTTGTTAAATCATTGTTTCACTTTTCTCTCAATTGTCATCTTTTCTCCCCCCGCCTTCTGTCACAACTCAAAAAATAATTAAATAAAACCTTCGGATCTCCAATCACTATAAAGTCTACGCCATGGAAATTAATCGTAAGTTTACATGGACTTGATTCTTTTAGTTCATGAAATGTGTTTATTAATTTGCCTTTTCCTTTTGGACTGCGGATAGTCTTACATCATTTTCAAGTATTCCTCGATTTCTGGTGTTAATGCCTTTTTTAAAGTGTAAGTTAAAAGTAAGAAGATTATAAATGTGATGTTGGGATCATCCTATTTTTTTTTCCCTTTGGGAAATAGACTCCCTGGGATGAAGGTGGCATTTCAAATGAACAGAAGGAAGAAAAATTAGTTTTCAGACATGACTCCAGAATAGTTACCAATTAGTGAGGGTATAGGGGATCCTGACCCCACAGCTCACGATACAATTATTTTCAAATTTAATGTACAAATGAAAGAAAACAAGCCAAACACAGAACAAACTCATGATAAATAATTAGAAAACATGATAATTTTCTAATAGAAAACAATATGGGGAGAAATAAAAAAAGATTTGTCAGCTTAAATACTAAAGACTGCTATATATGAAAAACACAATAAATGGGAAAATGGTTACAAATATGACAGAGTGACTATCTCTAAGTGCAGATGTGAGTTTCTTGCCTTCTTCGTGTGAGCTATTTTTCACCTGGAAAGTTTTTGGAAAAGAAATCAGTCATTTAAAGACACAAGTAGCCGATATTTGCTCTTCTCATTGCCCATAAGTGCAAACATAAAGAGACCACCTTCCCTTTCAGCTCCTTGTGGTGAAAACCTCTATGACGAGGACGGCAAGAGGCTCCCCCCCTGCATCCCGGGCGCATGGCTCACGCCAGCCCTCATGGCCTGCTACCTCCTGGTAGCCAACATCCTGCTGGTCAACCTGCTGATCGCTGTTTTCAAGTATGTGTCATGACTGACGTCTGTGTGCTTGTTCTTTCTTGTTTTATAGATTTTCAGTTTAATCCCCCGAATCTCCCACGTGACCACAGACTTCAGAAAGTTCATGTAAAAATGAAATTCAGTGATCCTTTGTTTTGGTGAAAAATTTTTGAAATGCATGCATGCTTTTTTCAGAATACTTATTTCCATGAATTTTTGAAGAGCTCCCATATGAACAGTTTCAAATATTTTTTGTTCCCATTTCCACATGAACTTTTTTTTTTTTTTTTTTTGACAGGCAAAGTGGACAGTGAGAGAGAGAGACAAAGAGAAAGGTCTTCCTTTTTCCGTTGGTTCACCCTCCAATGGCCGCCGCGGCCGGTGCACTGCACTGATCCAAAGCCAGGAGCCAGGTACTTATCCTGGTCTCCCATGGGGTGCAGGGCCCAAGCACCTGGGCCATCCTCCACTGCACTCCCGGGCCACAGCAGAGAGCTGGCCTGGAAGAGGGGCAACCGGGACAGAATCCGGCGCCCTGACCGGGGCTAGAACCCGGTGTGCTGGCGCTGCAAGGCGGAGGATTCGCCTAGTGAGCCGCGGCACCAGCTCACATGAACTTTTTAAAATGCAGAGAAGTTCACTAGGCTTAAGTGCATAGAATTTTTGAAGGTTTTTTTTGCTAAACTTTAATATTTTTTATTTATTTATTTTTGACAGGCAGAGTTAGACAGTGAGATAGAGAGACAGAGAGAAAAGTCTTCCTTCTGTTGGTTCACCCCCCAAATGGCTGCTATGGCCGGCGCGCTGCGCAGATCCAAAGTCAGGAGCCAGGTGCTTCCTCCTGGTCTCCTATGCGGGTGCAGGGCCCAAGCACTTGGGCCATCCTCCTCTGCCTTCCCCGGGCCACAGCAGTGGCCACAGCAGAGAGCTAGACTGGAAGAGGAGCAAGTGGGACAGAACCAACTGGGACTAGAACCCGGGGTGCCAACGCCGCAGGCGGAGGATTAGCCTAGTGAGCCGTGATGCCAGCCGCTCAACTTTAATATTTAATCCTAAATCAAGAGCTGACACTTACGGGCCAGTGCTGTAGTGTAACAGGTTAAGCCTCTGCCTGCAGCACCCGTTTGAGTCCTGGAGGCTCGTCTTCTGATCCAGCTCCCTGCAAATGGCCTGGGAAATCAGTAGAAGACGGCCTAAGTGCTTGGGCCCCTGCCCACTTGGGAGACCCACAAGGAGCTCCTGGCTCCTGGCTTTGGCCTGGCCCAGCTCTGGCCGTTGCAGTCATTTGGGGAGTGAACCAGCAGAGGGAAGACCTCTCTCTCTCTCTCTGTCTCTCTGTCTCTCTGTCTGGAACTATGCCTCTCAAATAAAAATAAATCTTAAAAAAAAAAAAAAGAGGTAACACTTAAACACATTTAAATGTAATCCTGGTTAGTAATTTAACACTGTAGCATGTCTTTTATCTAATATTTTTTCTTTCTATAAAAAAAGCTTTATTTACTTACTTTGAAAATCACAGAGAAAGGGAGACCCAGAGCGAGCGATCTTCTATCCGCTGGTTCACTTCCCAGATGGCCACAATGGCAAGCGCTGGGCCAGGCCAAAGTGAGGAGCTTCATCCGGTCACCCATGTGGATGGCAGGAGCCCAAACACTTAGGCCATCTTCCACTGCTTTTCCCAAGTGCATTAGCAGGGAGCTGGATCAGAAGTGGGGTAACCACTTCTAAGCACATTAGCAGGGAGCTGGATCAGAAGTGGAGTAACAGACTGGCACCCTTCTGGGATGCAGGTGGCAGCTTTACTTGCTTTACCACCATGCTGGCATCATGAAAATAATTTCTTGATGAAGGTCTCCTGAGGTAGAGAAGAGCTGATCTGTACTAGTGTATGAACTACATTTTCTTCTTTCCAAGGCAGAAGATAGAATGGCCTGGGGCAGGAGGAGGGTTTAAACTTTCAAATCAAGTTCCTCCCAGAACTTCGCTGTTTACCTTGATCTACTCAATATATCAACTACACATATTCAACGTTGAAAATAACTTTAGCTTCTAAGATAAAAACTATGAGGCAAGAAAATCCTTCAAAGAAATTTAAAATCTTGGAAGTGAACAGGGCATTGGAGAGGATCTGACTTCTCCTGGGAGGGTTACTCCCGTTCCCAAGGCCCCGTGTGAAAGACAATGAAACTGTGTGCTTCCTGGAAGCTAAGACAAAGACTGTACCTACCCCAGGTCCAGAGTAACAGCACCTTCCATGAGATAAGTTCAGTAATCAACTCAGTACCAAAAAAGTAGGTATCTATTCGTCTGAATTGAAACTTTACACACTTTGAAGTGCTTGCCTGAACGGCTCATCATTTTAAAATATGGCGTTTGCACAAACGTGAGAGTCAGCAGGCCGTGGCATGGTGCTTCAGGAAAGTAGCTGGTAGCAACTTAGACGCTTAGTTCTTACCTCCATGAGTGAACTGTCCTGGAGCGCGGACAGTCCACAGACGGAGGAGGGAGGGCTCGGGACCAGGTGGCGCCGAGAGCCCACTTCTGCAGGTTTCATTGCGGTGTGCGTCCCTGGCTGCTGGGGAAACGACTAACTGTGGCCGCGTCTTGTTTCCGAAGCAACACCTTCTTCGAAGTCAAGTCCATATCCAACCAGGTGTGGAAGTTCCAGCGCTACCAGCTGATCATGACGTTCCACGACAGGCCGGTGCTGCCCCCGCCCATGATCGTCCTGAGCCACCTCTACATCATCGTCGTGCGGCTCAGCGGCCGCTGCCGCAAGAAGCGCGAGGGGGACCAGGAGGAACGCGACCGAGGCCTGAGTACGCGCGGGGCTGCTCGGGCTGTTTTACCAGCGTCCCCAGCAGGCCCCGTCCCGCGCACCGCACTAGGCCGCCAGCCGCTGTGCTTTCCGAGCGGTTCCCGTTTCGGGGGGTTCTACTCGGGCTTGCGCGCTCCTTCGTAATGCGTGTTACTGAGAGCCGGCTCGTGGGGCTCAGAAGTCGGGTGTGCAGATTTCTGTCTACGGGCTAACCCAGTGCTCCCCTCACAAGGCGTGGGTTTGTTGCATCTAAAGAGGAAGAGAAAATAATGCTAGTCGTTTGGCTCCATGAATAAAACTCACGCGGAGTTGTCGGTCAGCATTACTGGGACGTGGACCTGGGGCGAGGCTTTGGGTAACTTAGCTCGGCGCAGTCGGGGACGGCCTGCAGGCGGTGGAGGCGCAGGGTAACGGGAGCCGGCCGGGGCTCACGCGGCCGCCGCCTCTCCCTCCGCAGAGCTCTTCCTCAGCGACGACGAGCTGAAGCGGCTGCACGAGTTCGAGGAGCAGTGCGTGCAGGAGCACTTCCGGGAGAAGGAGGACGAGCAGCAGTCGTCCAGCGACGAGCGCATCCGGGTCACGTGCGAGAGGTGCGCCGGGGTCGCGCGTCCGGGGGTGGGGGGCGCCCAGGTCCCTGCAGCATGAACTCCAGACGTCGCCTTTTGACGTGGCTTCCCCAGGGGTGAGAGAGTTGTACACTGTGGGTGGAAGTGACATTTAGCGCATGTGGTGCGGGGCCCCCCAACCTGACAGCCCTCGCCCACCCTCACACCCCACAAGTGGGGGCTTTCGCCAGCTGCGGAAACCACCTTCTGTGAGGCCGTCCATGTCGCTGCCTTTACCAAGCCTGCGCACCCCTGGGGATGGGCCGCCTCCGGCCTAGCCCCTTGCCTCCCTCCACCGTCCTCCCAGACTCCCAGGGCAGGGGTGAAGCGGCTCCTCCGTGCTCCCAGGAGACTGGGAGCCGTGGGGAGTGTGTGCGCGGGTGTGAGATGTGTGTCCCCCAAGAGGCAGGCTCAGTCTTTGACTTACACATTGTCCAGCAAAGTCAGCATCAGCCGGCTGTGTGCAGAGTGCATGCATGCAACTGTTTGAATCGAAGAACGGGTGAATGAAGGCAGGACAGGGAAGGACAAAAAGTGACATTTCTGATGCCCTGTCCTGAGCTAGATAAAGGGTAGACAGGGATAATTAACCTCCACTGTCTGCACTTTTTAAAAAAGATTTATTTATTTACTTGAAAGTTAGAGTTACACAGAGAGGAGAGGCAGAGAGAGAGAGAGAGAGAGAGAGTTTTCCATCCAATGGTTCACTCCCCAATTGGCCACAACGGCTGGAGCTGTGCGGATCTGAAGCCAGGAACCTCCTCCGGGTCTCCCACGTGGGTGCAGGGGCCCAAGGATTTGGGCCATCTTCTACTGCTTTCCCAGGCCATAGCAGAGAGCTGGATGAGAAGTGGAGCAGCCGGGACTTGAACCGGTGCCCATATGGGATGCCGGCACTGCAGGCGGTGGCTTTACCCGCTGTGCTGCTGTGCTGCAGCGCTGGCCCCTGTCTATGTTTTTTAAATCGTGATTTTTGAGAAAACTTATTACTCAGTGAAGGCAGTTTAAGCTTGCTAAAGTGTGTGTGTGTGTGTGAGAGAGAGAGAGAGAGATAGAGAGAGAGAGATTGAATTTATTTGAGAGCGATGGTGAGTCAGAGAATTCCAGTCCACTGGTTTTCTCCACAAATGCCTACAACAGCCAGCACTGGGCCAAGACTGAAGCCAGGAGCCAGGAACCCAATCCCAGTCTTCCACATGTGTAGCAGGAACCCAGTTACCTCAGTGTGCATTGGCAAGAAGCTGAGTCAGTAGCCGGAGCCAGGCATTGAACCCAGGCACTCTGACCAAGGACACAAGGGTCTCAAACTAGGCCGAATGCCCAGAATGCCCATCACTAGGCCAAGTGTCCCTAAAGATCTTGATAATTGGTAGTACATTGTTCCAAGGATTTAACTAACCATGCAGATAGAAGAAAGCCTGGCAAAGGACACACCTAAGGGGATTCTGGGGCATCCTTAGATCCTTGAGCATCAGAATGAAATCTTCCCGACACAGAAGCAAGCACATCGTACGGAGAAACAGGAGAACAAGGCAGGCAAGTCCCCATCAGTGGCCCCAACAACTAACAACAGACTGCACGATTCACCGTGAAGTCTCCCTGGGGCATGTCCAGGCCGTGGACGCGGCCCCGCCCGCAGGAGGGAAGATGCCCCCTGGCAGCTGCAGGTCCCTGGCCTCGCTCCTGACTCACTTTGTAATCCAATCAAACCCAACGAGCCAGATTCAAGGATTGTCCACACCAACTTTTGGCCTCAATAAAGTACATTTTCAATGAAACTTTGAGACATCTATTTGCTACGTTAACACTAATTGCTAAGCTTTCAAAAGTAGGAAAATTATCTCTACATAAGATAAGGCACTCCACATCGATAATCTAAAATTTCCACGTTTTAGTGAGACATTAACTGGGCTGTAATCCTAGCCAGTCATTTACAATGGAAATTGTGTTCTGCTCCAGGCTGGCTCCCTCCCTTCTCTCTTCCCCTGACATTGTTTGGATTTTTACCATTCTTGAGCCAAGTCTCCAAGAATGTAGTTATCAGGTCACTACCAAATCGCATTTTTCTCTGGGGGCTGTGTGCACACGAAATAGCTATGAAAGTGAGCAGGGCAGCAAGAACATGCTACTTCCTGTTTCCCTTGGCAGGGATCCACAGGAGCCTTGGGGGCACATTCCTGCCCCTCCATTTCCCTCTACTGGCTTTGTGTGGGCTGACTCACAGGTGAATGCCCCAACAAAAAGAGGAGGAGGTTTGGCGAGAAGGGAACTTTCCTTCCCTCTCAACCTGGCCTGCTGAGGAGCTAGGACTAAAGCAGAATGAACAATTAGTGATTCGGACCTAGCTTCAGGCACCTGTGACTGCTTTCTGAGTGCTCAGACATTCCTGCTGTTTCTCCAGTCTTCTTTATGTGTTGGGTTCTCATTTTCTGCGTCACTATTAGTCATTTATGATCTCCCTGCCCCTTTCTCAGCGGTCTTCGCAGCGCCATTCAGACCCGGGAATGTTAGGAGAGCACCAGTCCTTTCTTGTCTCCTTATTCGGCTACCACTTCACGCCTGAGCCGGAGAGCCTCGTGACTCCTCGTCTTGTGACCCAGCGCATTTCAACATCAGTCACGCTCCTGTATGAGAAAGCCTTGAGCTGCCTGCGTGCAGGAGCTAAATTCATGGCTCTCTCCTAATGCTTGGAAAGTTTACATTCTAAGCACTTAAACCAGCTGTTTTATTGTGAAGCTTTAACATCTTGTGAGGTCCAGTATTTAGTTCCTCAGTAGGAGATGTGCAGTGTGAGACAGTGTTAGCATTGCAGCAGGTGTTTAACCCAAAGCCCTTCAACACGCCCACCTCGGGGCCTGAGAGGCACCAGACTCATGGTTTTTCTTCCAATCTTGGATATCTTCTCCTGACCTCTAGGCTCTGCCATTCAACTATCTGAGCAAGATGGACAGGAGCACATCATTGTGGCCCCTCCCCTTCTTCACCAACAGCTATCAAGTTCTATTTACTCCCCTCATGACTATAACATGGCCCACCCTCTTTCCACCTCTGTCACCAGCACTAGTTGAAGCTTCCATCACGTCTGACTCCATTGCTACAGATGCTTGACTGAGCATCTTTGTCTTTTTTTTTTTTTTTGGATAGGCAAAGTGAACAGGGAGAGAGAGAGACAGAGAGAAAGAAGGTCTTCCTTTTGCCGTTGGTTCACCCCACAATGGCTGCTGCGGCCGGCGCACCGCGCTGATCCGAAGCCAGGAGCCAGGTGCTTCTCCTGGTCTCCCATGGGGTGCAGGGCCCAAGCACTTGGGCCATCCTCCACTGCACTCCCGGGCCACAGCAGAGAGCTGGCCTGGAAGAGGGGCAACTGGGACAGAATCCGGCGCCCCGACCGGGACTAGAACCTGGTGTGCCGGCGCTGCAGGTGGAGGATTAGCCTAGTGAGCTGCAGCGCCGGCCCGTCTTTGTCTTTCAACCCACGCTGTGCTCCATGGAGGTCTTGTGCTCCTGCCCCGTCTGCTTCCCTTGATATTCCCTCCGTGGTTCCCACTGCTCTCAGGCCTGGAAGGGCAGCCTTACCCTGGACCATCTCCTCTCTCTCCGGCTCTGCACTTCGTTTCTTGGCTTTCGTTCGTGTCCTCAAAGCACAGGATCCTTCCTCCCACAGAGGCTGTGCGCATGCTGCTCCCTCTGCTCGGCACACCTTACCCTTCTTCTCTCATCCTTTGGTTCTCTGCTCAAATGCCATTTCCTTATGGGAAGCCTCCACAACCATCTCCGTCCTTAGGCCAGGCCAGGATCCTCCGGCCCTAAGCTCCATAAAGGCAGTTACCATGTCTGGATTTTTCTGCCATGATATTTATCCCCAGAGTCTACACAGCTCCATATAGCAGGAATGAAGTGTGTGTGTGTGTGTGTGTGTGAATGAATGAATGGTTCAAAACATTATCTCCTGATTTGAATACAAATTTCTACCCCATGCTCAATGGATTGTTTCCTGAAATATTGAAAAGGGAAATCAAATATTTCTCTGAGTAAAACATTGGTTTTACTTCATTACTTTCATTAATTAAGGAGCTGCATCAAGGTGCAAAGGATTGTACCACTCATGAGTGTCATGAGGAATGACTAACATCAGCAACACCAAAATAAGGGTTAGTGTTGGCAGACATAATCCCTCTGCTTGAAGAGGGCTTGTGGGATGAGAATATTCCATAGATAACTTCTGTCAGCGTGACCAAGTTAGAACTTGGTCAGCCTAAATACTCTATTCTCATCATACCAGATAACTGCTAACATGTATTGCTATCTATTGGAGCTTCGAGGCCATCTCTGTGTCTTCTACAAATCCACTGTTGTACACATTGTTCTTTCTTTGGTTCACCAATCTTAATCACAGGTTCAAGAGCAATGGGAGGCAGGTACTCTGGCTCAGTGGGTGAGACTCTGCTTGCGACATCCACATCTCTTGTCAGTGTGTTGTCTTGAGTCCGGTTCCTCTGCTTCTGAACCAGCTTCTAGCTAATCCAACTTCCTGGGAGGCAGCAGTTGATGGTTCAAGTGCTTGGGCCCCTGAGACCCAAGTGGGAGACCCAGATGGAGTTATAGGATCCTGGCTTTGGCTGGCCTAGGTGTTGCAGGCATTTGGGGAGTAAACCAACAGATGGAAAACCTCTCTCTCTCTCTCTCTCCCCCACCCACCTCCTCTGTTTCTTCTCTCTGTCACTGCCTTTCAAGTACATGAAAATAAAGGAACATTTCTTTTTTTGACAGGCAGAGTGGACAGTGAGAGAGAGACAGAGAGAAAGGTCTTCCTTTCCCATTGGTTCACCCTCCAATGGCTGCCGCGGCCAGCGCACTGCACTGATCCGAAGCCAGGAGCCAGGTGCTTCTCCCGGTCTCCCATGCGGGTACAGGGCCCAAGCACTTGGGCGAACACCAAGCTTAATATTTAATACAATAAGTATATGAGGAAGTCTTCAAAACAT